CCCGAGTTAGATAACTCGAGTTGCCCATCACTAAGGCAATATCGTAACCAATGAGGTTAATCCGAGGTGCGATTATTGCTAGTTGAAAACTTTACCAATACCCCGCCGTGTGGACGTGAAATACCGTCCGCTATGGCAATTTTTGAATGGCCGTAACTGGCCTAAGAATTTCTCAAAACTCGCTTACAGCGCCATCTGTTTTTCGTTTATATTTAAGATTGTTTTACTTTACTGGTTGTTTTTGTTGTTGGCTTTTATAGTTGTATAGCAATACTAAATGGTTTATTGAGTCTAGTATTTTTATTTTCAAGACAATCGTTGTAATAAGCACTACAAGTTCCTAATTACTTCCTCGGAGCCAGACTAATAATGTCATTGCTTTATAATCGTAGATCAATCTTTCTATGGAGCACACAACTCATGTTTTATGTACAAAGCAACTACACATCTACCTGCAACATCTCTTTACACAATTTTAAACTTTATCACTCTAGAAATTGAGTTAAAAATATACTTAAAATTATTGACAGATTAGGTTAGGATAAGTGCCGTTGTCTGTCCCTTTTCAAAGAGAAGAAGACTATTTATTTAATTACACTGGCAACATTCTGCTTGTAATGGCGGCATTATGTGAATCCGAGCTAATTCGCGCCAATTACATGAGCTGTGGGAAGATGGCGGCTATTTGACAATCTATGTTTGTGACTCAAATGTTGACTACAAAGGGTAACGGAATTTTCTTTGCAAGGTCAGCAATACAAACCTTGAATACGTTTTTTTTTTGTCATCCGTACCTACATTTGCTCAAACATATAGAAGCTATTCATTTATTTCGTATTGTTTTAGTCTAGATTCTCGATCGTTTTTCTACTCTCGACAGACTGTCTTTCTTTAATCGATTTTCGACGTTAATAGAAGACGATAAAGTTATTAATCCAGTATTACATCTATGACTTGATGCGCTAATGTGAATGCAGTAAAGAATTTTAGCCGCAATCAGTTCGAAACAATATCACCCATCCAGTGTTATGTGAAAGTGTCAAAGATTACGTAAAAACAAAGTGCTGCTTGCGGAAAGTGTTAAAAAATGGAATAGAATAGATGCAATGAGCGTACAGAGAAATATTCGCATTGTGTAATCATTGGCGTCTTATTGTTCTCTTGATTACACCAAACATAATGACTTTGTCCTAAAAACGACAAAGTGTCGAGTGGAAGTCATTTGAGGCTGTATTTATGAAGGTGATGACAGGTCGAGAAAGAGGAACTCGTGGTTAAGGCGAAGCCCCGTGAAACAAATGAGAGTCTTCCATTTTTTGTGACTTACTTTTATGTTAATCTTATTCAGACACGTAACTCATTTACACAGACAGTTGCTATCCATCTTTCTATGTTTTCTCAAGATGTTACGAAAGACTTCGATTTCTGCATGGGGATGTAAATTTTTGTAGGACAACACACGTGACGAACTCGTCGTCGAAACACTCAATTTTAGTAGATAAGTGATCTCTCGAAGATATCTCGAATTTTTTTTATGTGAACCTAATTTAACTTATTAGTGATTTTTACCTTCTTTGCACACTTTATTTAGTAGTATTCCTAAGTTCCAGTAAACTGAAGTTGAAAAAGGCTGGCTATTGCAACGAATGCTTCAAAGGATTAATGTGACATATCAGTCTTTTCAATCTTGTATGTCTACGTGTTGGATTAAAATCAGGGCTGGCAAAACAGGTTTTGAACTTTAACAAACTATTATTCTGTCCATCTAATTAGGATCCCTTTTAGATATTGCAGATAGTTCTAAATGAGTTACTTAACGCTTGTAATTAAATTTCTTACGTCTACAATGATCTTTATATTTTAATTGCTGATTGATAGCCTAGATTGATAATTTTGACACCAAAAGCATAGATAAGGACGAAAACAACTAAAATTTTAGAAGAAAAATATTCTAGAAAAAAATCCACCTACTATAAATACTTGAAAAAGACAATATCGAACTACAATTCCAAACTTAAATTTTGAAGTGAAAGTTTCAATGATGTAATTTTTCTCCCGCTCAAATATTGCATTTCAGTATTCAAGCTCAAACCATTTATATCCACATGAACTTCAAAGCGCGGGCCCTCACCGGTTTTTACAAGCCAACCCTGATTAACAGTAAATTGAGAATATCCTAGGTGTAGTGGGAAAATTGCTTACCTCAATCCGGTCCTACATCCGTTCGTCCCTTTTGCGTTGACATAACCCATATTATAACGGCACCTTTAAGATTGATTTCTCTACCGACGATTCTAACTGCGGCACCTCAAAGTTACAAGATAAATAGCTACAATAATTGCATGTGATTGGAATCGGATATTGTACCGGCTTAAAGGTGTGGTAACTTCTATAAACGCATAGTGCTTTAGGTTTGAAATTTTAACGTTGGTTATTGTGTATTATACAAATGCTGGAGGTTCAACTGTGCCAGTAACATTTTCTTTGTTGAAAATACAACAAAACTATAAAATCAATTATTGACAATTTAACGTCAAATTCTAATTCTATTTTTAAGCAAACGAACCATGCTCCTAAGGACCTTAAAATTTGCTACTTTTTACTCCCCTACACTGTCTGCTTTTAGACGTGGTACCTTATTTAGCTAACTCTTTCATTATCTAAATCGGTTCGCTTTGGAATCTGACTAAACTTAGCACCGGCCTTGTTTCCCCAAATAACAATACAAAAGGTGGCTTCCATTTTCCGAATAACACTGGAATTACACCTTCATAAAGTAAACGAAACAATACTAAATTTAGGAGCCTCAAAATCTCAGGGCTTTGTGAATTAACTGTGTATAATTCTGAGTCAGTCGTGAACGTCGATACGCTTAAAAGACAATTAGCTAGGAATTCAGGAGACCTTGACTGTCGGTTGTCCTATCGCCGACTACAAAGTGCACGTGCTATGGAACGAACAATGACTATTTTGTCTATTATTAATAAATAAGTCAAGGTTTGATCGAAAAACTTTATTGTGCTTATTGCAATTGATATACATATAACCACGCTTCGCTTGTAGTGTAGGTGTAGGTGATATTTCACAAACTTTTTTCAACACTTTATTAATCCTATGTATTTGCTCAATAGTTGTGCTTATTTACATTCGATGAATGAAATACTGAGAGATCAATAATTGAAGTTTTCTCTTTATGAGTGTAGTAACTGTAGTATTATATTAGATCATCAAAAATCTAAGAGTTTTTAATTTTTTCTTAATCCTTTTTTTTAATCTGGAGAGATCTTAGCGCAGAACATCAGTCGTCTTTAAACCGTACAGAGATTCCTTTCATTGATATATCCATATCGTCGAGTGAGACTTTAAAAGCTTTTAAAGCGTCTCTTTATGGTCAAACGTGATAGGTCATAAGGTCTTGGTATTGTTTCGGTGCTTGCAAATGTCCCATAACCCGTGGAAGGTCTTTACCACGCTTTTTGCAGACATGTGTGACCTGTGCGATTGTTAATGCCTACGAGTTCTCAGCTATTATTCTTTGAAGTGTCTTTGTGCATTTTTAGTATGAATCTTTTTATTTTATTGTGTGTTTGGCTGATATTCTTAAAAACTTCGAGCCAAGCATTTCAATGAACATGTTTTTAATAGATAAAGTTGTTGCCGTATAATTTGTTTAAGAGATCTGTATTATACACGCGTGTAGCCCGCCATTGACCGCGCGTGCGCACCCCGTCTCACCTTAAACATTTGCAGAAACGCGGACAAGCGCATATTTCTTCACATTCGGCTATTTCCGTCTACCGTTCGGCTAAATCCGTCGGTAGCGGACGATGACTCCGACGGCATGCGCTGTTTAGACCTTGACGTAAACTTGAGGTGCAGTTAGAACAATCAATTTGCAATTTTATCGCCTTCACATAAAGAACAATTGTATGGTAAATTAAGTCGGTATCATTTCCGTATAGGATGTTCGAGTCGGAAATGATTTATGCCAGCAGTGTAATGATTTAAATTTGAAGTTGCATCAGTTAAGATAAAACTAAAGTGTACTGTATTCCTAACAAGTTTAGTGTCCTTAGTAATTGCAAATCGTACGATGTACTACTTAAAATAATTATAAATCCATTAAAATGAGCTGTAGATGAAATTAATGAAAGAAATGCATTCGAAGCTGTATAAATTTTGTCTTATAACTAATATTCTTTCAAAAGATACTTAACATTTCTTAGCTATCTATTCAAATTATTTTCCTTGTGTATAATGATTAATGATTGATAATATTAGTATACGATTCATCTCTCTTTTGTTAATATAGGCCTCCCAACAAACATGGCCTGAAGCCATTTCTACATCCGACTTTAAATTTGGCCTTGTTAATTTTTTAATGTAATTACAACCATTATGCCTGACGAAAGCCTACAATTATCTTGTCGCACAGAAATTATTTTTAACACGTGTTCCACTGAAACCAATAATTACTAATTATAATTTGTGTCCAAAAAAATTATACGCACTTTTTTGCGTTATGTTATGCCTCTCTATGTAGAAGAATTATTATCCGCTGGAAGAAATTTTCTTAGTAATTCGATATTCAAAATTACGTTTTAATGGGTTTAAAATGATAAAAGGTTGTTTGAAACCATATTTGAAAGTTAAAAGACTTTTGTGAAATAATATAATAGAAATCTGTCTAGAAACTTCTAACACAGTACTATCAAGATTGACTATTTTTGCCCTGATGAAGAGAGTGAATGAAAATGGAAATTGTTCTATTGCAGTTTATCCTTCAAATTATGCTATTGACAGTCTACAAGCTTACGAAATCAATGATCTACAACATATATAAACCCAAGCACCGAAATCTTTTAAATCTCATATACCAGTACAAGTACACAATGTCACAACAATAAAAACAAAACAACGAGATCTTTCACTTGTAACTGTCAATTATTAAGATAGAACACGTCTGATTTTGGGTCAAACATCTGAATTGTAATTGCAACATGATAGAGCAGCCATTATTGTACAGACACCAGCAGGTGAACCTACACCACCAGTTTATATTAAGTTGTCGACCTTATATCAAAACTATAAAGTTGAAAATCTAATAAAGAAATTTGACAGAAAGGAGAAGGTTGAATTGCTGTACATGACGGTGGTACAACCGGTAATAATGACGTAGAATACAATGATTATTGTCAGCACAATGCATAGGAAACGGATTTAGCTATTGTTGTTGTAATATCGAAAGTAAATATGGAGATATGTCATAATTGTGAAGTAATAGTGGACTGAGTCAATATAGATTGGGTTAAGAATGACAATAAGTTTCACTGTAGAGGTAAAAAATTGTGTATCTAAAGATATATTCTCAAAAATACATCTTGTACAGGGACTCCTAATAAACGAACTGAAATGAATATTAAAAATCTTATACTTACATTATATAGAATTAAAAGTCTAATATTAATATAAAAAAGTCTTCACCACACAATTCCATAGCAATACTACTACAATAAATATCGTTGTCGTGACCACTTAATCTAATTTTCATCTTATCCATCTTTTCATTATCAATTCTTTATTTTTTACTTTCATCCACAACAATTTATTCTTCAATGGCTTCTGTAATAATATAATTTTAAAAACGCCATTTTGGTTGGGTTTTGGTAGCCAAACGTTGCAACACTGGTGATAAAAAAATTAAAGTCATGGGTCTGAGTACAACCACAAGCTCTTAAATTGTGTAATCCTATTGAACAGTTTTATCGCCATGGTGAACTGATTTGCCGCGGCTTCATCGCTTAGCCAGTGCGCTTTAGCGTTAGTCAATTGAAATCGGACACCATTTTCTACTGGATAAGAAATATGTTGTTTGGAACTAATATATTGTTATTGGTTAGTTAGCTGTTTAATGGAGTGAAATTTTTGTGTTCTATTTCACCTTTAGGAGTATTTCCACAAGAGTCGCCAACGATTTTACGGTCATTTTTATATATGGCGTTATAATACTTTTGTTTCTTATTTTTATGTCTGTGGCTTAGTGCTCGCCGATCCTAATGATTAATTCTTTTATGATCTTGAATTAATCCATATTAATGTGGTATGGACAGTCTTGGGCAATTTTGTGCAACTAACAGCAAAATGGTGAATAACTAGCGATCTTTAACCGTCGAATGTAGTTCCAGGTGCGAAATTTAATAAGTTTCTAATACTTATTATCTTTATAATAGTAACTAGAAAGTTACTTCACAGTGGCTTCTATATGTTAATAATCTAGTAAAACTTTATTACCGATAGGTAACGCCTTTCCATTAATAAATTGTCACTTCACATGTGCATAATTATATATCTATTAAGTAATTTTTTGCTGTTGCAACACTGCTGGTCATAGATAGCTAATCCGTTTCTATCATTCGTTTTCTTGTCAGCAAAATGTAATCAATGTATTTTTCGATAAATTATGTACCTACCAATGTTCACAAAAACGAACCTTACAAGGCAAAGCGTTCTCATATTCAGTCCTTCATATTCCAATAGCATAGAAACAATTAGAAATAGATTAAGATCAGGAACTGACTACTCGAGTAACTATTTGATTATATCTTGATAGAAACCATATTTCGTGGTCACGACAAACGTTTTGTTCGGACGCCAAAACAGTATCATACTGTAATAAATCATACGCAAGCCCTTTAAATTCTTAATTGCCATATTGTACTTGAACAGTAACTAATGAAGTACAAAATAGACCTTATTACTTACAGAATAAGATACTAATAAATCATTTTAGCGTCATGATTGTGAAACCTAACAAACAATTTGTAAACGCATTTTTAACATCATCGGCATGCATTCAATATACTACTAATCATTTCGACGTTTCAATAGACCAGAGATCAAACTGAACAAATCGGCATATCACATTTTGAATCGCAACGAAAATGTCAAATGACATTCTTCACCTTGAGTAGGTACGCCATAGTTGCGTTTTAATATGACCACAGATTATTTATAGTGTTTACGTTCTGTCATTTTACGGATTGGCGGTAAAATTGTGAAGCGGCCAATCAGAAGGCTCTGTTTATATTTGCGAGCTTAGAATTTCCATTCCATTACCAGAGATATTTCAAAATATGTAATTTATGCTTAGGTTTCACATAAACAAATTATTATTATTGGATAATGACAATTTAATACCTTGTATCAAGAAAATGCAGTAAAAAATTTTCATAGATATGTATGATTTACATTTCGTAATACAAAGCTTGGTTGCTTCAATGAACTTATAAAAAAATAAAAAAGTCATTTACTCCCACAGATGTATAGTACCTACCTAACGACTAATATTCGATAGAGTGTGAAAATAAATATATAAAATATCATTATCATTATTTAAATTTAATGGTAAACCAACGTCAAAACATTTTATACTTTTGTGTGGGTGATAATGGCGTCATAATAGGTGCGTTTTTAAATATAAAAATACTAAAGTAAGCACAACTTTTATTTTCACCTGCCTCAATCACCTGTTCCTTTCATTTTACCACATAAAAAGACTTCTTCCTTTTTAAGAGTCGAAATTATATGCCTTTAAAGTGCTATAATTATTAAACGATTTTTATTAAAATGGGAATCTTTAAGTACAACATTAAAATTGAGTTATGTTCCATATGCGGTTAGGAAAAAAAATAGACGAAAATGATCAGATGTCTATGATCATTCAATTGACATAACTATTGAATGCTCATCCAGTCTCAATTTTAAAGTAAATTCTGTGAAATCGTTACCTATTAACTATCAAGGAAGATTCTCGAACAAATTATGTCTGATTTGAATTAAGCAACATCAACAGACGGTTCTAACAACTTTCCCAATCTGATTCCGTTTTCCCATGCAATCGGAATTGAAACGACTTCCAACGATCTCGATAAATTTGTAATTTGGTATGTAATAGCATCTATCTTGTAATTTAAATGAATGCAACGCTAGGGGAGCCATCGTACTCTAGTCATTTCGATGGACGTCAGCACTGCATTCATACATGATGCTTAATTTTATTTTGAATGTACAGCTTGTGTAATTGAATTTGCTTTTTGTGAAAAATGTTTGCCCAACAATAGGATTTTGACCCGGAACCACAATTTGTGGATCACATTAAGTGTTGCTCCGTGAGGGAATCGATCCGTGACAGGTTGCGCTTTAGCCGGTCAAATGTGCAGTTAAGTCATTAAATTACAGGCCCAAAATTCGGAGCTTCGACTAAACAATCTTCTTCAGTCACTATAACTAAAAATATAATGTCAAGATGACTATAACCTACCTTACAGGTAGTTTACTAACATACGATAGTATCATTACCTATCAAAAGCCTCATAAAATCTTTGAACCAGAATTCCACATACAAAGTTTACCCTATCTTGATACTTAATATTATCTACACCATTAATGTCAACTGTGTCTTTAGCTGAAGCCTAACGTCCTTTTTCACTAGCCTCTTTCATCAGATCCAATCTATAGTCGTCCATAACAGCTGCAACTAAGAAAGGGTTGCTATGGTAACCAGTTGTCGCGTCAACATCTTTAGATTCTTCTACAAGATACCTCAAAGTGTTATCAAAAAAGATTAGATACTCATGCCCATAGTAAAATGGTCTGATCGTTTATTGGATTTGTGAGATTATTTTGTATCTGTCTATCTACATCTAAAATTGGTTAAGTTTTTTTATATTTTACAATTTGTATATAATAGTAAAGTTTAATTTTAATAGAATTAATAACACCAAATCGGTCGTGACAAGCACATCTTTCAATTTCACGCTTCTTGTATCCACGAGGCGGTAACAAGACGAATACTCGGAAATTTTTATTGAGAATTTTCAAACTATCAAAGCAGGAAAATATTCTACTCTTAGATGGAAATTCCATGTTTAAAAGACATTCACATTGTTGAATAAACACCGTAATATTAGTTGTCATACTCAAGGCGCGTGCGCCACAGCCAAAGCACGTTCGCCCTTTGTTCGATTTTCAAATTTATTTTTTCACACTAAACGGCTTTGAGTTATTGTGTCAACAGCCATTGTTAATTTTGATTGGTCGGTCTTCGTAACACCATGATCTTTTATTGTGTAGACTTTATTTCTTTTTTTACCTTTTTTATAAAAGTTAGGCCGGCTTCTTTCAAGTCTTATTTCTGTGTTACGCAAGTAATTCTTGTATCGGAAACTATGATCTTGTTTATTACGAGATCCGCATTCTTATTTTGATGAGTATCGATAACATTGTTTGATAGGCTCTTATGTTTTGTTATTTGCTTCTAAAATATGTGTACTATCAACAATGATCTTGATTTTAGAATAAAGGCCTACAAAAATCTGAGGTCATCCTAATGGAAAGTAATGTAAAAAAACATCAACAGAATCGATTTCATTTGTTGCTCCGAAGAAACTAACGATTTAAAATTGGAACGTACATCGTCTTTAGAATTTCGTATCAAGTTCTGTGATTGGTTGACAGTAATTTTTTAAGCTAATCAGAATAATTTGACAACCTCCTTTTCGAAATCCATTTATAGTCAGTTTTTTTTCTTAATACCTTCATGTTTTTTCTTTCTACAGGTATTGCAACGCGACGTGGAATGCCACGGTCGGATCGTGAGTTCGGTGGTGCGGCTGTGCGGCGGTGGAGACGCTGCGCGTGCGCTTGAGAGACGGTGGCACCTGCTGTACCTAAGGGCTATTGAGTGGCAGTGCCATCTTGAAGCTTGTCTTGCGAGAATCGATAATCAGGTATGGAAACTTTTCTTTATTCGTAGTATTTTTATTTGATAAGTTGGTAAACGGATTACCGCAACGGTTAAGCAATCGGCGCCGCCCATGAACACCCTCAACACGGGAGTGGAGTTACGAGTGCGTTGCCGGCCTTTTGGAGATAAGGGTTGCGGATATTAAAGATTGGGAAAGGATAGGAGAGGTGGAAGCCTCCGGTAACCTTGGTGGTTGTTTTACGCCGGTTTTCTGTGAGGCCGTGGAATCACCCCAGTCGAGCCGACACATTTCTGCCGAAGCTTGGCTCTCCCACACTTAGCCACTTAGTTTTAGTCACTGTCCTGTCTTATACACAGTCATCTCATTGTAGATTGGAGAAAATACTTACTTTGTATTAAGAATGTTCTAGAATTACTTCAACTCTAGACAACCACGTCACACATTAATAATGTCCCATTCCAACGGAAAACAAATGCTTGCGCATTTCCCCTTTCGCCAAAAAAGACCATTCGACAATTTATTTATAGTGGTTTACAATTTCTCGTACACAATGAACCAATCAACCGCCTGGTGTTGTTTGCAAACACTAGACCCCAAGCAGCGAAGAAAATTGATTCATCCCCAACTATTTTGAAGTTATTGAGCGAAATGGCGATAGGGTGACGATGTCAAAAACTTCTATTGTTACCATATCTTTGTAGTTGGTTGAGGGATTTTATGCTTGCAGCCATTTTGGGATATGTATTCGAACGCCAAAAAGATTTTTCCCATATCATATTGATACCTTATCAAAACGATTATACTTTGAGAAGCTTCTCTAGTTTTTCTAGCAGGTATACTATCTAGTTAATTTGTTTTTCATATTTATACCTTAAGGTGTGTACTGGCTAATTTATTTATTATAAAGGTGTGTGCTAAACGTAAAAAGCTTTTCGTTGACTATTAACTAAATGTTAATTATTCACCTTTTCTAGCTTCTATAATTTATATCCTCTTAAACTACCTAACTTTAAAACGCTATAAACTTGGCATGACATTTCATTACCGTTAAAAATAACAGTACGTGTATTTAACCAAACAACGCTTATTTCCAAGGACGAACCGGTACTTTATCTTCAAAACAATAGTACAATTTAAATCCACCCAAACATAAAAAGGGTAGTACACACGTGGCCTCCTTCCACAAATAAATAATTCCTCAAACACGCTTTGTTATGATTTCTGGTTGCTAAGCAACCGATGACCCATTTAATAGTTCGCATAGGGATAGTTTATACCATAACGACTCATTTAAGGGTTAATATCAACCATTTTGTGGCCGCCTAAAATACGTAGGGATCTTAAAATGACTTTTATTGGTCATAAATAAATTTTAAATGGATTTGGTTGAATATCGTATGAATAAGAGTAGTAAATATTGCATGATTTTTTTTTATTGGGACAATATGAGCGTGAGATCGTTTTGGAGTGCTCAGCCTTTTGGGAGCGATCGCTTGGGACAGTTATATAAAGACGAAACAAGTTGTTATCAATTTTATTAATTGTCAGCAAATGGATTTCTTGATGAGTTTTATGTTGTTATTGGGTTTCCACATCTGCTAGAAACAAAATAAGTCAATATTATATGTATATTCTTCTTTTTTTATTGTATAAGACGGCAAACGAGCAGACAGATTACCTGATGGTAAGCAATCGGCGCCGGCCATGGACACCCGCAATACGAAAGGAGTTACGAGTGCATAACGGGCCTTTTGGGGATAGGGGTTGCAGATATAAGGATCGGGAAGGGATAGGGGAAGGGGCGGAATTGGGCCTCCGGTAACCCCACTCATAGGGCGAAACACAACGCTCTGGTTGTTTCACGCGGGTATTCTGTGAGGCCGTGGTATCACTCCGGTCGAGCCAACCCATTCGTGCCGAAGCTTCCTTCTTCCTTCTCAATCCTCGGCACTACTTAGTCCATTAGTTTGTTCAGATTTTTTGGAACACAATATACCTAATAATGGCATTACAATTAAACATTTATACATAGTTATATAATGAAAACTTCTTACTGCCTAAACTAATTCCGCATTTCCTCTTATTCCAGGGTTGCATATCGGCAGAGGCTGCAAGTGACAGCGACGACGAACCTGCCTTGAAGCAGCCGCGGTTAAGCAGGCGAGGGTCACCCCGCAGACAGAGAACTCCAGTCAATGCAAGACGTAGGGACAGCTCGCTGGATAGCAGGCAATCTGCTTCAGAGGTAAGATCTTTGACAGAGAAACAGCTTCATGCCCACCACCATGCCACCATATTTCGTCCCTGTATTTTGATAATAAGGAACTGTAAAACATATGTTTCATTTATTTCGGTTACAAAACGATAAAGCACATCTTATCGAGAAATTATGGCACCTTATAAATTAAATGTATGCATATTTTAAATTCAATTTATAAACCGTGTAATGTTAGACTTAGAGTTCGTTGCTACTAAAAATGGACTGGTCACAATTATTGGCAACATTTAAAAAAAACGAAAAATCAGTACCTAGTAGTTGGTAGTCTTTTCTCCCTAGAATAAACCTCGAGAAGACCTCGGGCTTGACAATTAAACATCAGACGACTTGACAAACATGGCCACACTTGACTAATGTATATTAAAATTATAAATTAAAACACTTAATCATATTTGTTTGCAGGAGGAACAAGAATATGTGCTAAAGTACACGTGGCGCGGCTTCGGGTCGGACTGTGAGTCTGAGTTAGACAGAGCGCGGTACATCAACATGGCGGACGAAAGACGAGTGCCTGGCGCCTGTGACGTCACTGCGCGTACTACAGACCAGACCGTGCCTGCGACAGACCACGTCGATGGTAAGATGCCAAACAATAACAAATTGCCCGTAATGCTTGGACCTCAAACAATAAAAACAATCACTCATGAATGCCATGAATGCACAAAACTTTCCATTTTCCCATTAATAATAATAATTATAAAGCATTATATTATAATAATAGAATTCTGGTTATTGTTTGAAACATAAATATAAAATAATTTATAAAAATAGAAATGATGGCATATACTTGTAAAACTATAGCAGTATTATCTTCCACAGGACTGGAAACACACGTCAATATAGAGGATAAATTAAAGACACCTCCAACGGTAATAAAAAGAAAGAAGCCAGTAGACACATCGAAATTTAATCAAACCGATCGCAAATCGAAACATCTAGCTACATTCTACTTCAGGCACCATGACACAGACTCCGATAGACAAATGATTGAAACGGAAAAGTCACAAGAAGAATCTAGCGAAGAAGAATGGACCTACGTTGGTGGTGCTAAAATTGGAAATGAAGATTCTACTGATATAATGACGTCATCCGTTGAAATCCAGTGCGAATTGCCCCTGGATGAAAATAAAAAAGAAAAACCACCTTCTCCGAAACCGAAGCTAGAGTCATCGACACCAGATTTGCTTAGAGTTGAAAGGTGTAAAGACATAGAGAGGTTGGTGAATCAGGCTGAAGAATTGGTACAGAAACAGGCGCTATCGAAAAAGAAAGGATCGAGGAGTTTCAAACCGCTGCCATTTGATGAGGATGGGAAGAATGTGAGCAGGAACAAAATGTCGAGGATCAAGGAATGGTTGAACCAGAGCTCGGAAGGCAAGAGTGATAACAATCAGGTGAGTGTTCAAAACTGACTCTTAGTAAAATTTTCTTTAAATACCTAATATGACTTGAATGGAATACTGGGTATTCCGTTCTATTTTCAAATTTTCACTCTTATCTTTTTCTTCCAGGGTACGGAAAGCTATGACGCCTCAGGAGAATACACGACAGAAAGTGAAGTGGACACCTCCTTGACATCCGAAGAACGAAACATTCACTCCTCAATGGACATGAGCACTTCTACCTGCACTGTTACCCCCACACACCATGCCAAGGTAAAATAAACTTCACTAACAAGATATAAACACTAAAATCGTAAACGCTTTATGTGTCCTTGTCACTAATTTACTCAACTAAGTGATAAAACAGTGCTAACTATAAAACAAATCAATAACTTAAAATTTTATTAAAATGTATTTTTAACTTTAATGTCTTCACCAGAAGGTTCATTCTATTATTACTATAACTTTTACACTGTGATTGACCCACATTATTAACTAACTCTAAGCACATTGTACATAACAAAATGGTTGAGGCATACTCTCACTTTAGGTAACACTCCGTAAGAAGCGAGCTGGCAACAGCGCAAGACCGTGGTCTGTCTCCTGCCTATCGCAACTCAGCGGCGCCGGCGCATCGCTGGTGGCCACGCCCACAGCAGGCGACGTTGCCGCTATGTCACACAACATGTCTATCTCTGAATCTGCTTTGAACACACTCGCGTCTCCGCAAAGAGTTACTCCTGCAAATTCGAACTCCAAACTCCGTGGAAGTTCAACTACTGTACAGGTATTGGCTTTTTTACGTGTCACATACTACAACTGCAAGTCTAATAAAGCTAATTATTTCTAGTACTTTCCAGTACATTGTCACTTTTGAAGAAAAATAAAGAAGAAGGTTTAATTTTCCTGTTTTTCTTAAAAGAAAGACAGAGACAGGAAAATTAAAAATATCTCCTAAATGTATTTGATACCATCTGTACCTATATAAGTCATTCATATTTAAAACTATCAATGATTTAAAATGTTTCTACAGCAAAGACTAATAATGACTTAATTGACGGGACAAATTATAAGTTCTAACACCCTCGAATTCCCTTATCTCATCCAGGGCCACGTATCAAGCACGAACACAATGACAGAAGCTTGCACATCATGCGTCGAAGCAAACGACAAACATGGCTGGTTACGACGCAAGCGGTTGAAGTTTCGGCGCAACAACACAGCGGTACGGAGAGGAGAGAGGCTTGTCAAGTCCCTCTCTTTCTGTGGCAGATTGAGCCCTGAAATAGAGGATAAGCATGAGAGGAGTGCCGCCAGTGACCCAGCTACTAGCAGGAAGAGCAGGTTTGTACATAAGTCTGATCTAATAAGTAGAATAGAAGTCTGACAGAACTAGTGTCTGTTAATACATTTTGTGACTTGAAAAAAGAGTCATTAGAGTTCAATATAACATAACATTAGAATTACAATCAACAACGATATTATTTTTACCAGATTCGACACAACATCGACTTCAGGCAACGATAGTGACGAGGAACTTATAAAACAACAGCTAGCCACCATCGCCCACCTGCGCAAGAGCATCGAAAAGACCCACATCTCGACTAGGGAACCCGATAGTGCCATTCCAGAACAAAATGAGGCTGAGCCTGTGGCCCCGAGCTTTAAACTGGGCCCAGCTGGAGGACCCGTCAGGCCACGACTCGCTCGAAGCCTTGAGAGGGAGAGGAACTTCATAGCTCTCAGTTTAGGCGACCCCAGTCGGCTGTGGGACTTATCTATCGACAAGGACTCCGATATAGACAAAAGTGTGACTGCTGGAACCGAGGAACATAGTTCATTCTCTGAACAGGCGTGGGATTTCTATCAGGTTTGTAGTATAGATTTGTTAAAGTTACATTATCAGAATTGCTCTAAAAAGTGGAAAAGTCGAAGAGTCTAACTAACTCGTTTTTGATTTACAGGAAAAATACAACTCGGAGCCCTATTCAGAAGCTCCAGATTCAGACGCAGCGAGACGTCTCTTAGAATTCGGCGATGACTACCGCGCCTTCCTCGACTCGCAGTCCGACTGCTGCTCCAGCTTGTCAGCGCAGCCCGAGAACGACCAGAGCCCCAGTGGCACCCGCCGCCGCCGTCCTCCGTCCGACGTATCGCGAGAACGAAGCCTCCCACGACACAAGCGGCCTACCAGAAACTCGCCAATAGAAACTCCTACAAGAAAACCCAAAAAGTCCATGTCTAGCGCTGAACGTAAAAAGTCCCTCCTCGACAGCCTCGAGCGATCCAGAAACAACACTAGCATCGAGAGCAGTGAAGGGGTTCGCCGTCGCAAACCTTCGGAGAGCGAACGCAAAAACAGCAAGCGATCGCCCGAATTTGACTTGCTCAACGTACAGGCTCTGAGCCGCAGACGACACAGCTCAAATTTGACCAGCGACGAGGTGAACAGCTCGTTGGAGTACACCGAGGTGAACAACCGGCCCGATATACTGGACTCACTGGGCAGGCGGAGGAGGACAGACAATGGCGAGTCGGAGCTGCAGAAGATCGCGTTGTCCGAACTGCGGCGGCGGTCGACAGAGAGCGTGGAGTCGGAGGACGAGTCGTCGAGCCCCACGAAGCACAGACGGCGCAGCTGGGACTCGGGGTCGGAGGGCGAGGCGGCGCGCGCGCTGGTGCGGCGCTCGGGCGCGGCGCTGGGCGCGGCGGAGGCGCTGCTGGCGCGCCACGACGCCGAGCCCGACCTGCTGCGCGCCTTCGACTACGTAAGGACACAATTCGATACCGATTTCAGTAGTAGCTATTCGGACAGCGACGACAACGCGTCGTGCGTCACGCGCCGCCCCGCATGCTTGCGCGCGCGGCTCTGCCTGGCCGTCGCCGCCTTCTCCGTCCTAGTTATAGTTTACATACATCTCCAATGACATATGGCTTGGGCTTGTGTGATATTTATCATTATTTATGTAAGTATTCGTATTAGGTTCGCTGCGATCGTCAGACGCGAAAGATACGTAGTCGTGCCTATAGACACGCATTGACAACGAACTCATTTTTATAGTTATTTATAGGATATGTTACGTTTGTTCTGATAGTCAATTGTCAGCTTGGTTTAGCTGCATTTTACAAATGCATGTAAAAATGTAAGCAGATATGTATGCATAGGTAGGTAACTACGATCTCTTATAGACATTCCAATATATGACGAGAGTACTTATAGTGTGAATGGTTGTAATTAAAGTAAATGTTATGTACAAACTGCAGCATTTATAGTTTATAATCTATAAATGCTAGTGAATACGTAAGTCTGACTATCGCAGTATACATATGGATATATTACCTACTAACTTATTAATTTATTTCATCGATATTGTGACAGTTTCACAAATATTACGTAGTTTACATATTTTTGCTCAGATTTATTTTATACAAGAGTTTGATCAGTATTTTTGGCTTTAGTGCACGAGTGAAACTATCATGATGTGATCCTATTTTTACATATAAATTAATTCATTTCCATTAAATGTTTGAGTTTTTTTTCTTTCTACTAACATCGTTTGTTGTGTGATTGTGATTTGTGTAGTTTTTACTAACTGCCTGATATTTTTTCTTTTTTTTTTAATCATTCTCATCATTTTGGTGGTGATAACATGGTGCTAGGCCCAGTCAACAAATTAGGGAAAGCGTAACATTTTATTGAATAAATTAGTTTATAAGTTAGGTGCTGAGGTAATAAACGCTTGGGTTTAAAATCATTCGCAATCATTTAGCTTAACGTCTGATAAACTTGAAATGTCAAATTGACAGATGTCACATTTGACGTTTTCGAGTCAGTTCGGAAACGGGGATAATTTTTAATCGCTCAAATATTGATTAATTTATTATTTAATTTACTAGACTTGGTACATCGTTATTGAATAACATGAATTCTTGTCATTGAGTGATATAATATTACGTACTTATCGATAATGTTACTTTGTCAATATCCTACTTAATCTTTGGTTGTATTTTTGTATCATTATTTCGGTTAAACTTGGCATAATATTAATATTTTTTCTTGTAATTGTGATTTGACTGAACTCCTACATCTCACAGTATAGCTGTATGTATTAATATTATGTTGAATAGGGATAGGTTGTTAATTGATCTTATTTTTACAAAATGTTAAAGAACCAAGTGATCTTTGTATAAATGGTTGAAAAATAAATGCAAAATTTTAAAAATTTTATTTGGAGTTTCAGTCAATTAACACCCTTCTCTAAATACTACACAACAAACAGATATACAAGAACTAAGTCAGCACATACATATAGTTAACTTTTCAAAATTATTTCCTTACCATTGCAGTGGGCCTTTTCTGCTTTTCTAATATGTTTGGCGTTTAGTTTGTGATAGCTTGGGCATTTTATTTGCAAAAAAATTAAATTAAATTCTGGTAAATCAAACCAAATGATGCTGCATGTCTATTTCCTTTCTTACACACAATGTAAAAATAAAATCAATTGAATGGTGTTGTCAAAAACGAAGAATGTGATGGATATGATAATAAAGTGAGTTAGTTGTAATTTAATAACTATGTTTGTATAATATATTATGTTAACACTTGAATATATGACTTAAATGTTTGTTTTTGAGTTTATTTTTCGTTTTTGCAAACTTTATTTTTTTGGTTGCACAGACGGAGATCGTCAATCGTTGCCGGGAAAATATCAACCTATTAGACGCGGCCTTGGCAAGCGGCTCACTTTCTTCCACTTTGCAACGTGACGTTAGAGGTTAGTACACTTCACAAACTAAACAAAAATATCGAAGATTACACGCTAAGGCAGATTTTTTATGTCAAATTTTGCACACAATGTCACAAACAAGCCAAATGGTCACCGCAGAAATCACTGAAGTTGACAGCTATGATCGCAAAAAAGGTTAATTTAAAAAAAACATGACAACACAATGCAATTGCATTATGAACGCAACTGCAAGCATGAATATCTTGTTCCATGCAAAACTTCTGACGGTTGGTGGTCATACACCGCAGTTACTCATGTTACGACGACCGGTTTCTGAACGAAACCCCGCCGATTATTGTCCAATCTCGGTCGCGATCAAGGCTCACGCCATATTTGGCTTGCCAGACGACGTCTTTGCTCTTTTTTTATTTACACAAAGCAGAGAGAGGTTAAATTACACCAAAGGCAGTTTCTTGTTTGCAAATTGTATGTTGTACAGAAAACCGTTTTGTTAAGGAATCGATTTTTGGTAAAAGCAATCAGGTTTGTTACTATAGGTACTTACTCTCTTTTACAATATTTCATACATATATTTAATTATCTTTAATAATACAGGTGCATATTATGTAAGTATGTATTATTATCTAAAATTTTAAAAGGCCCGTGAATGTCAACAATTAATAGTAAATACTTAGGTACCTCATTATGCCTATTAAATATGTATGTATTTAGCAAAGAATGGATCTTGATCTAATTCCCACAGACTTACACAATTTAGACTTCTGACGTTTCTGAATAAGTTTAGAAAGTGACAAGCTGTCTTGCCCACAGACGTCATTAAATATCATAACCGAAAGTAATATACTCCTGACTGAAAGTAGAATACCCCTGAAGGTATTTTTCATAAAATAAGTACAAACAGCTTTATTCCACACCTATGTATCTGGACTGTGTCCACAATTTAGTCACTTAAAACAGAAGAGGTAATTAATTATCTTATCTGCCTTTGAAGTACAAACTAGCAAATATGTACTTACAAATGAGAAGGCGTTTATGGTCTAAAACAGGGTTGCTACTCACTTTACTATAAATATAAAACCGCGTTAAGGTAAAGAGTATTAAGTCTTGTAGGTATCTAATGATGAAACTTTAAGTTCTCACAAAACTTATTTGCTTAGTGACGTAATTTCTCATGTTATATCTTTTTTATAGTGTGACCAAATAATGAATAAAGAGACTTAAAATGTTTACTGGACCTAAAATAAGTCTTGAATAAAGTCCTTTATACGGTGCTTTATATAAAAAGTGTTTATCCTTTTGCGACAGACAAAATAACGCTTGTCATATATATTACCTTTGACAACCCTGAATCCCGGAAACGGCGACACGCCGGCCGATCATACGCGCATTCGTTCGTCTCCATCTATTTCTGCCTACGAAAGCGGAACGGTCTCGCTAACTATGAAAGTGTGGACACTCTTACCTTTTTTTTTGCGAGGCCCGTGTGTGCTTTGACGAATCAAGTCACCGCTGTCAAGTTTTCAGATCAATTTTAGATGTCTGCCCAATAGATGGCGTTGTATTTCGAATTTAAAATTCGAATTGTAGGTATCTTCAACGGATAATACATATGCATTTCAAATCTGTAGTGACAAGTGAGAGCACGATAAAGTGTGTCTTTAAATAACCATTGAAGGAAAGCCTCTGATCTCGTCTTGAAATACTTAGCTTGAAGAACCCATTTAAAAAGTTTATTTGTAGATAAAATCTTAAGTAAACGTGTACAATATTACCTATCTAAAAATACAACATGAACGAGTTACCCCTGCGTTCATTTTGTTTTCTTTTTAACGAATGTATGTCCCAAAATAAATATTATTTTAGTCCACTACGTTAGAAGACCATAGGATTCTGAACCTTATGTCTGATAACATGATAATTTAAGTTATAAGAACTGTGTAAATCATGTGTAACCCCAAAATCTACATTGCAACACCTGTATGCAAAGTTTGCAGTTGGCTGACTGTGTGTAGACTAGATAATGCAGTTATTACCATAATACTGTGTGCCTCGTTCTGCAACTAATGTGGTAACATTTACAAATAGGAGAGCTAATATTTGTTGCAATAATGTAGGTATTGCATTCAGATATTTAGGTAGAAACCTCTTTTATTGCCAAAATGGTGATTTTGCAACCTCCTTTCTGTAGCCTGCTTCGGTAGTAGTTCATTTAAAAATAGAATAGTTCGCAAAGATTTGTTTGCTGTTCTAAGTGATAGTTGGATAGTTTCTTGGATGAAATATAAAAAAATGTGTTTTTTATGATATTTTTTATACTATAATTAAAATAAAACATACTTCACAGTCACTGGTTTGACGAAATAAGTTTGCTATTTGACGTTAAAGCATTGAAAAAAAACCCTCCTAATTAAAAATTTCGACCATTATCTAGGAGAAAAATTAATTAAAACTACCAATCCAAACAACTTGCTAACTTTTGTATTTTGTAAGACTGATGGCTACACTATCGAATTGGATTTTATCTGTAATGATGGTTGTTAGTGATGTAAATAAATAAATAAATAAATAAATAAAACACAATCAAAATCTTCATATTTGTCTTACCAAATCTAGATTTCAATTAGGTAAGTAGGTACACAATGACGTCAATTTTCGAAAATCGTTACCTACAAAATACGTGCGAAACACTTAATTTGATAGGAACAATAAACATAGATTTTTTATAGTCTATGTAAACAGCCAAGCATTTGATTGGTGACATAATGTATGTCAACAATGAAATAAATAACCACTTAGATGAAGTAACATGAAGCTTAAGAAAGAATCAGTAGCGAATTGTTTTTTGAAGTATAAACTTGTGTAAGAATAAGGAAATGTAATAATGGTGGTCAGCACGAAATTATTAGTTACCGTACACGAGTTCAGAAAACGCTGTGTGCTTCGAAAAAGTGAGTTTAGTTGTTATCCTGTTGCTTTTGTAGCACCTATGGAGTATAATAATTATGATCAATTCTAACTTTTTTATTTTTTTTATTATTTAAATAAAACTGTCAAGATTAGTTCTTTGTCAGATTTTAAATTTAGAAACGAAATTTTTTCATCATAATAACCTTATTTTGGCGGCATTTATTCAGTACATCATGTCTGTTTCAGTAATCTTTAATGCTAGATATTACCTA